CACAGAGAAGGGAGTAGTCCTCTTGTAGAGGTGGAGGCACAGAGAAGGGAGTAGTCCTCTTGTAGAGGTGGAGGTACTGCAGGGGATGTTTCAGAGACTTCTGAGTGGGCTTTGGGATTAGAAGTGGTGGCCTTAAAGAGGTCACAGCAAGTGAAGAGCCGTCAAACAGCATAAACTCTAGTAAATTGATACTTCTAGAGTTCAGGGGTGAGGGTCAGGCGGCAGTAAGAAGTAAAGCTGCTCTGCAAAGAAGCTTGGACTCAGGAACCAGGGAGGGGGGAATGTTCTGATCATATTTACATTTTAGAGTGATTTGATGAGCTTGTGGTTGGAAAGACCACCCTCTCCGTTGTGTGGAAAATAGATTTCAGGGTGGGAAGAAAAAAACCAGTTAGGACATTATTATAGTAGAGAAGGTCAAAGTTAATGAATGCATGAACAAAGGCAGTGGAAATTGCCAGGAAAACGGTGGGATGTGCTTGAGTAATGTTTAGGATGACCCTCAGATCTCTAGTGTGGTTCATTATGTGTGTAGTGGTTATGTTCACTAAATTGGAGGGTATTAGGGGAGGGTTTGGGGAACAGCTTATGAGTTAGGTTTGGTCATACTGAATCTGACATAGCTCTGTGTATCAAAGTGGAGATGTCCAGTAGGAAGTTAAGTTTATGGCCTGGACCGCCGAAGATAACAAGGTTAAAGATATGTTGTGATCTGTCAGTATATAGTGGCAGTGGAATCCATGGAAGAGGATAAGACTCTCTAGGACAAATGTGTAGAAAAAATCCTGAGGAATGACAGTTCCACGTTTTAAGGGTGATCCTAAGATGAAGGAAAGGATTTTAAGAGCTGGCTAAAAAAGTTGAGGAAAAGCAAAGAATAATGTAAGAAAGTAATGTGGCTGATAGTATCCGGCCACAGAAGATAGTTTAAAAAATGTTGAGCGTGTTTGGCATCTGAGTGATGCTGGTTGTGTTTGTCAGAGTCCTTTTAGGAAGGTGAGGGATAGAGATGAGGTCTTCTTTAGATTGCAGTAAGGAATGAATGGGTGGTGAAAATGTGGAGACAGTGAATATAGACTACTTGTCCTAGAAGCTTGGCTGGGAAGGGAAAGGCAGAGGGCTGCCAGTAGTTCCAGGATTGAGGAGAGATCTTTGGTTTGGAGAAACGTAAAGGTTTTTTAGATTTAAGACAGAAAACCAGTGAAGACTTGGTTGGAGATATGGAAGACGGGTGGGTAGTAGTTAGTTAAGCCTGAGCCATGGTGGGGAGCTAGAAGATGCAGCAGGAGCAAAGATGATAGAGGTCACCTTCGAATAGGAGACGGGAAGCTCATCTCTGAAAGGGAGAGGAAGTAGACTGGGGAGGAGTACAGGGTGAGTCCAGGTGTAGATGATTTTAGGGGCAGGCGTTCTTTTCTCATTTTCTCAGTTTTCTTGGAGACATGTAGGAGGGTTGGGTTATTTGCTGAGAGATGCCAAGATCTGGGTCTTAAAGAAAGTTGCAGATAATTTAAATCGTAGGCTATTTGAAGATTAAAAGCTGTTGTTTACTTATTTTAAGAGTGTCTGTTAAAGGTATAAAGCCTGCTAGAAGTGTGTTATTTAATGAAAGCTGATTAAAAAATAATATTGGGATTTATTTATGGAAGAATGATGCTCTATTCCAGAATCTCCCTTTCTTAAGACCTAACAAAAAATGAGAAAACACTATGAAAACCTTTACTAGCAACAGCCAGGCAAGAAAAAGGTGCCTTTGGCTGGTGGGGAGTTTTAGAGGGAGGCAAATTAAACTTGGATCTGGAAGTCAAGTTTGTTGGGAAATTTTGTGCATTTTTCTTTATATTCTTAATACTATTTAATAAAGCTGTCTGAAACTGATGAAAAGTTTATGCCTAGGTATATTTTAAGAGTTCCAGTATTGTTACAGAATGCTTAGTGTTACGTGTACCTGTTGAAGTTGAATTTAAATTGAGTGTCTTGAATTATTCAGTGTTAACAGTAAAACACAAGCCTTTTCTTAATTGATTTAGCCTCTCTCTCCTACTAAACTAGGTTCCTGACATGGCAGGCTATCCACACATCCGTTACATATCATCGGGACTGGATGGAACGTCGTTCAGAGGTCCTTTCAGGGGCAACTTTGAGGTATGTAATGAAATAAATGTAGGTATTTGTCGTAGGACCTTTAATGCAGAGATAGTATACATACATACGTACTGTTAGTATTCACAATTGAATAGGGCTGCTGTACCCGGTCAAGTGGATTCTGACTCATAGTGACCCTGTAGGACAGAGTAGAACTGCCCCAAAGGGTTTCCAAGGCTGTAAATCTTTACGGGAGCAGACTGCCACATCTTTCTCCCATGGAGCTACTGGTGGGTTTGAACCGCTCACCTCTCAGTTAGCGGCTGAGAGCTTAACCACTGTATCACCTCAGACATTCTACTGCCTTCTAATTCCCAGCCACGGTGGCAGTTCTCAACAATGAAAAGACAGATAATCCAGTTAAAAAATGGACAAAGGATATGAACAGACACTACACCAAAGAAGACATTTAGGTGGCTAACGGACACGAGGAAATGCTTGCAATTATTAGCTGTTAGAGAAATGCACATCCAAACTATAATGAGATACCGTCTCATCCCAGCATTTCTGGCAGTAATTAAACAGAAAATAACAAATGTTAGAGAGGTTCTGGGGAGATTGGACTCTTACGCACTGCGGATGGGAATATAAAATGGTACAACCACTATGGAAAACAATATGGCACCTCCTTAAAAAGCTAGAAGTAGAAATACCATATGATCTAGCAGTCCCCCTCCCAGGAGTGTATCCTAGAGAAATAAGAGCCATCACATGAATAGCCATGTGCACACCCGTGTTCATGGCAGAACTATTCACGATAGCAAAACGATGGAAACAACCTAAGTGCACATCGACAGATGAATGGATAAACAAATATGGTACGTACACACAATGGAACACTACACACTGACAAAGAGCAGTGATGAATCTGTGGAACATCTCACAACATGGATGAATCTGGAGGGCAACATGCTGAGTGACGTAGTCAACCACAAAAGGACAAATATTGTATGCGACCAGTATTATAAAAACCCAAGGAAAGGTTTACACACAGAAAAAAACAATCTTTGACAGTTACGAGGGAGGAGAGGTATGGGGAGGGAAAATCACTAACTAGATAGTAGACAAGTGTTAACTTTGGTGAAGGGAAAGACAACACACAGTATAGGGGAAGTCAGCACAGCTTGACCAGGGCAAAGTCATAGAAGCTTCCTAGACACATCCAAACACTTGGGAGTTACTGGGACTGAGGGCTGGGGGACCGTGGTCTCGGGGGACATCTAGGTCAATTTGGGTAACATAGTTCACAACGAAAGTGTTTATATCCTACTTTGGTGAGTAGTGTCTGAGGTCTTCAAAGGTTGCAAGCGGCCATCTTAAGATACATCTGTCGGTCCCATCCCTTCTGGAGCAAAAGAGAATGAAGAAAACCAAAGACATAAGGAAAATATCAGCCCAAAGGACTAATGAACCACGTGAACCACAGCCTCCACTAGCTGAGCTCAGAAGAACCTCTGGCCACTCTGACAAGGATCACAATAGAGGGTCCTGGACAGAGCTGGAGAAAAATGTAGAACAAAATTCAAATTCACAAAAAAAGACCAGACTTCTTGGTCTGACAAAGACTAGAGGAACCCCGAGATTATGGCCCCCAGACACCCTGTTAACTCAGAACTGAAGCCACTCCCAAAGTCCACCTTTCAGCCAAAGATTAGACAGTCCTGTAAAACCAACAATAACACCCGTGAAGAATGTGCTGCTTAGTTCAGTCAGGTGTAGGAGATCAATGGGCATCACTTGCTCAAATGCAAAGATGAGAAGGCAGAAAGGGGCAGGAAAACTGGATGAATGGAAACACGGAACTCAGGGTGGAAAGGGAAAGGGGGAGAGTGCTGACACATTGTGGGGATTAGAACCAATGTCACAAAACAATTTATGCATAAATTTTTGAATGAGAAACTAATTTGTGCTATAAACTTTCACCTAAAGCACAATAAAATTGAAAGGAAAAAAAAAACCTAAGTAATTTATTTTGTAGCTAAATATCTTCTTGTTTGAATTTTTAAGGGAAACAAATAATTTGAATATGGTTTGTTTTGTTTGTTCATGTAAATTTGGAAGTTGGAGTTAAAATTTAATATTATGGACCTTTTTTGACTTAGTTATTTGATTTGCTTTCCTTCTTTACTGGAATGATGTCATCTTCTACATAAACATACTTACATATGTGGTGATATTGTTGCCCTAATTTCTAAGGATAATTTTGCCATAGCATTTCAGTTGGCTGAGGAAAAAATGATAAACAGCCATTGCCATATATAAGAAAAAAGTACGTAATAGCCATTTACCTTATAAATAAGGTTTTCTGAAAGTGTGTTTACACTGCAGATTTATAACTATGGCAGTTTTACTGCTTTTTCAGTATTGACATTACCATTGAAGGGAGGAGTCATCCTCACGTTTAATGTTAGGTTTTCTTCACTTTCAGGAACTGATTCATTTGGAAGAAAGATTGGGGAACGTCAATCGTGGAGCATCCCAGGGGACAATTGAAAGATGTACATATCCACATAAATACAAAAAGGTGAGAATTTGTTCTCTGTAACTTCTAAAATATTCCTGAAATGCATAAAATATAATATTACGGACCTTCTTTGAATTTATAAGAGTCTAGCAGCTACATTATTTATTATTAAAGCAATACATGCATACGGTTAAAAAAAAAAATACAGAAATACGCAGTGTGAAATCTCTCGCATTGCAGACCCTAGTCTTCCTGTATACAAGTGAAACCATGGTTAAGAATTTGTTGGATGCTTCTCCAGATATTTTTATGCATTTACAATAATAAACATACATATATATTTTTTCCTTCCACTTAAAACAACACAAATGAGATGAAATCATGTACACAGTTTTACATGAGTTACATTCTTTTTAATACCTATAGGAATTCTGTCGTATGACAGTACCATAATTTATTTAACCAGTCACTTGTTCTGATGAACATTTTGTTGATCTACATTTCTTATGCTCTACCCTCAATCTTTATTGTAGTAATATATCTGAAAGTTATGGAGTAGACATGTTAAATAAGTCTTTCAACAAACTCGTATTAACAACACTGTGCTGTACAGAGAATAATAAAAACGGTGTGAAAACCATTTGTTTGCATTTTCCATTGGTTTTTTAAGGGTTATTAATGAGGGATTACCACTAAATTTTTAAGTTCAACCGTCTGAGCTAAATACTGTAACACTAATCTGTGTGGATGTTATTTGAAACATTTATTAGCAAAATAAAGTTTGTTTAGCTGTGCTTATTATAAGGACAAAAATAGAGCTCAGATTGTGTATCTGGATTAAAAGTAATAGATTTTTAAACTAATGAATTTCTGTTAACATTGGATTTTGCTTGATGCTGATTATTAAAGGGTCTTAGAAGAATACGTATTAATAATAGTCACCTAGTTCATCCGTTGATCCATGACAGTCTTAACTGGGAAATCAGTTGTGGGTGGGGTGTAGTTTTGTTTTGTTCTTCACATAAACACAGACTTCACTCAGTTGTTCAATAATGTCATCTCTACTAACAAGGTAACAACTGATTGGTTCTCACAGAGGAAACTGCACTGCAAACAAGATGGGGAAGAAGGGACTGAGGAAGATACAGAGGAAAAGTGCACTATCTGTTTGTCTATTTTAGAAGAAGGTGAAGACGTGAGGTAACTAGATGTTACTTAGCAAATGTATTGCCCAAAACTGTCCAAGAGGTTTGAGTTGAAAGTAGACTAGTAACTAAATAAAGATTAATTCTGGATACTCTGTTACCAGTCTCTGATATGTAGAATTACTTCCTAAAGTTCCTGAAAGAATAAAAAGATTAAAGTCTGTATTACCAACAAAGGGGTGGGGGTGGGAATAGACTACCTGTGCACATCAGGGCCTGGCCTGGGAATTTCCCAGCCCAAATGGTCTCCTGTACTACCCCCCAGCCTGTCAGGGTTGACCTTTGTCTTCTGTACATCCTGCAGAAGGGAGAATCTCAGAGGCTGTGGAGGGATTGACGCTTAGATTAATGTATTCTCCAAAGCTTAAAAGGGGATCCAGATGAGCTCTGGGTACTTTGTTTTACAGCATCTTTTATAAATTGATTTTGTCCTAAAACTTTCTGACTCATAGGCCTGTTCCCTTCATGCACCTGTGTGACTGAGTAAATTTTAAGTTATGCTGCTAAATGAATATTTATTTTACAGATTTTTAAAATAATCTTTTAAGTAAATGTTCTTACTCTATGGGTGTTTTTTAATGCAACGTAATCCCATATGCAACAGGTTCTTTAATATATGTAACAGAACCGTGTGGTAATTTTGTTACCTAATTTATAATGATAACTTTGCCATACTTCTTCATTTGGCTGAGAGGAAAAAATATATAAGCAGTTGTTTACCTTACCATATATAAGGCTATTGGAACACTAGTTCTGATGATGGTTTATAAATGTAGAATTGCTTTTACATTATTATCAGTACTTCAAGGAGAGATCATTGATGATGAATTGGAACATTTATTTTTAGCTAATAATTTTAGGAAAATATTACGAAGTCTGAAAATGTATGACAGCTCTTAACAGTGGAGGAAGTAGAAATGCACATGGAGTCAGTAACTTTCATCGCACTGTTAGAGTTAGATGTCATCTTCCCCTCTCTTGCCTGGAAGCTCTTTTTATTTCTCCATTTCTAATTGATAACTCAGTATGATATACTAAAGTAAACATCTCCTTTTAACCTGCCAGTAAGAGAGTAGCACAGTATTAAGTGGATGTAACAAATATTCCATAAAAACAGTATTACTCAACTTTAATCAAGTATTACTTAATGAAGTATTACTTTAATAACTGATAAAGTATTACTCAACTTTAATATTTAAGTTTAATGTATAAATAGCCCCTAGATAGGAAATATTGCATATGAAGATCTTCTTTAATTAGGATAACATGACTGCTGTATATTTACAATATGAGTTGTCATGTTTTTGAGAGAGAATCAAATGAGAATATATTTTCAGTAGTGCTTCCTGAACAGAGTGATGATTTGATATTAAAAATATATTTGCAGTATTATATAGCAGCAAACGTACAGCCAATTCCAGTGCATTGGCAGTTAACATACAGAAACAAAACTGGAATAACTGCCAGTGTAATTCTTGTTTGTAAAATTCTTGAGATTTTATATAATTTGGTCCCATTGCTGCGACAGTTAATTATGTTGGTCACTTATACATTATTTTGCCCAGAGTGCTAACTTGTGTGTAACTCTCCTTAGAGAGTTTTATTTATAGAAGAGAACGATGCCTAGTAACTTCAAAACACTACTGAATTATTACATGTATAATTTTTTAAAATGCCACTTGAGGTTGTTACAAAATTAATTCTTGCTTTTTGTCTCTTTGCCATTAATAGGCGCCTTCCGTGTATGCACCTTTTCCACCAAGTCTGTGTTGACCAGTGGTTGATCACCAACAAGAAGTGCCCCATATGCAGAGTGGACATTGAGGCCCAGCTGCCAAGTGAAAGTTGACACCATGTCTCAGAACTCTTGCCCTCCCTCTCCTTCCCGTACTTCCTGGTACTGCAGTCAACCAAAGATGGCATGACTTACCTGCGCAGATTTGGAAGCATTGAACTTAGAGTGCTGGCTCTGCTATATGGTACAACTGATGCTAGACCCACAGTTAATGTATACAGTTGATTTTGATGTATTTATAAAAGCTTTTTTTTTCCTAGATTTGACATTTTTCCTGTATCATTTTACTGTATTTTTGCATGATTCCTTGTATTGCATTTCTTTGCACATATTATGGGCTTGTGACCCTAAACTTGCAGGCAAGATTAGCTGCTTTAGTAAGTAGGATTGTGTGGTCTTTTTTTTACCTAGTACCAGGCCTTGAGAATAACGATTTTTTTATCCATTACTAACCTTCCTTTAATTTAATCAATCATGTGCTTTAGTTTAATGTATAAAGATCCTCTAGAAAATGATAATATTGTGTATTAAGACATTCCTTAATTAGGACAAAATGGCTGCTGTATATTTCCAATATGGAGCTCTGAGTTTAAATATCATCCTTAGTACTGGGAACAGAATACAAACCATATTCAATCAGATGCAGGTGGTATTCACATCACCAGAGTGATCAATATGAATTTTCTTGGTGTATCCTTTTCCTTTCAGCACAGTACAGATAGAGTTGAATATTGACATCATGCGTTTAAGACTGCTGTTCTGATTGTATTTATCGTTTTCCTGCATCATTTGGAAATTTATTTCCCTGACTCAGTTTTTGCTGCTGTGAAACAGCTCTAATGGACACTAAAGATTAATTTCAATTAGCTGGATTGTACATACTTGCAGATTTAACAAAACTTTAGGGAAATTAAAGAAGACATGTAGAATATTGTTCAGTCTTCTGCTAAGCGCATATAGTTAAGATATCTGCTCACATTGATTCTGTAAACACATTCAGTCCAGGTTTAGAACTGCAGTCAGTGGCAGGTATCTGTGCATTCATAGAACATCGAAAGGTCCCAGGATCACTTGAAGGGATTTTGGTTAGTTTAACGATAAATAAAGTCAGCTGAATCTACATGTCTCTTGTTTTATTTCTCTCTAAACTTGAAAAACAGTAAATCTGCAGATACTGTGAGGTACAAATTATACTGTCAACCTACTGTTGCTCTGGTTATAGCCGCCCACTTCACACATTACCAAGAGTCGATCACTGATTTAAAATTTTTAATTTCTATAGTTAAGATTTACTGCATAATATAGAATATAAAGTTAATGTACTAACACTTCTCCTTTGGAGAAAGTTTTAATCCACTTCAGGATGCATATTATTATCAAGATACTTTCATACACAGGATAGCCTAATTTTATTTGTTCAGATATGCTTACTATGCTCCAGCTTGCAGATGCATCCAGTCAGTAATATCACTGTCTGTCTGTGGAAGCCATGTTCCCACGGATCATATGTGAAGATGTCAGTAAGCTTGCATTAAGCCACCTGCTTTGTAAGTGGATTGCTTAATAAATAACTTCTATTTCTATTGTCTTTGTGTTTCATAATTAGTTTTTATAAAGCAGTTTAAACATCTTGGAATTCAAAGATGATCTTACTCAAATTGACATTTGCGTAATTTGGTGTTTTATTTATTCAGCTATAGCTACTTGCCTTTTTTTCGCTTTAGTAAATGTTACATTATAGTAATTGTCATCAAGATGCTTCAGCCTTTTATGTGTGAAGGTGGAGGATGGATTAGGTTAAGAAATTTGGATATAAAATAATAGTTTTTAAAAGCGTACTAGATATGTAGCTGCAGTTGGAGGAGGTAAGGGGACTGTGAGAGTGAGTGAGCCATGTCTGCCACCTGGGGGAAAGAGCAGGCAGCCTGTCTTCAAGTCACCTGTCGAGTGTGTAGTAGGACTTGGCAACTGTAAACCCCAGCGTCTGTCCAAGGGATTGAAGAAGTGTAAGTGCACCATTGTATAGAGTCCTCTTGATGTCCCCCAAAACACAAGAAGCACAGATAGATTTCTCTATTTTTGAATACATCAGATCAGATGTACAACTCCCTGTTGGCCTGTTTAATCATTACTACTGATTTTCTTTTATGTAGATAAACGTCATTACTTCAAAATTTACTTAATGCAAGTATTTGTGGCATAACCCTGGGTTGTTAATGTAGGAACTTATTAAACTACTGCCCTTAGTTATAGAAAAACGTGATTAGCAATGAACCAAGTATGGGGAAAATAATTTTGACCATTTTTAACTTTTTGTGCTTTATTTGCTGTCTTCCATATCCTGCTGCATTTTATGTCAAGATGAAAATTTCAAGTGATAGCTGTCTAAATACTTTTGTCAGAAAAATCCTTATTTTTGTTGTTGTTAATATGCAAGTGATAAACTGGTGTTTGAAACTTTTCTTACTTTGGTGACTTTTTTGTAGCTGCTAGCATACTTCAGAATTTGAACCATAACAATCTGACATACAGAAAACTAGCTCTGTTCTAAAAATCCATAGTATTTGAAACTAGTTGAAACACTGAAAATATAACCTCTTGTCGATATTTCATTATTAGTTTTTCATGAATGGAAATAGTTTAATTCTGTGGAAAATGCATTCTGATTTTTAACTTAACCTTCCAAAACCTCCTGGAGCATAGTACATTTTTTTGTATATTGAGGACTTCATGTGTCTCGATATTGACTGTATCAAGGTAGAAATATCTTTACTCAGTCTAGGTTTCATTTTCTTGAATTAAGAATTATTTCCAAACATAGTCTGTTACTAAGAAAAATAAACGTCATCAATTATACTCTGTGGTTGGCCTTGCTGGGGCCAGCCTCCTCTCTTGCCTGTGTGTTCTGTACAGATTCACACACTGCAGAAAGGCTTGTTGCAGTGGTGGGGAGAACATCGGCTTTGGAGTCCTACAGACATGGGCTTGGAATTGTGCAACTTTGAACAACTTATTTAAGCTTTCTGAGCCTCAACTGTCTCGTCTACAAAAGAGAAGTAAATCCAGCCTCTGAGGGTTCTTATTAGGTATAAGTGAGATAATGAATGTGACGTGCTTTGCAGATTATGTAAGAATCCTTTCCTCCTTATGCTCCCTGCATGATACCGCATCACCCACATACCCTTGCCTGTAGCATAGCAAGGTGCTGAACTATAGATCAGTTTTTGCCACTTATCTTTCTCTTACCTTGAGCCCAGGCTACTAATTACAGATAAGAAGGAGCGATCCTCTTCAGCCCTATTAATGGGCTGGAATTTTTCTTCTACTATAGAGATGGAAGAGTAGCCCTGGTGACGCTGTAGTGAAGTGCTCGGCTGCTAACCAACCATCAGGTGGCCGGTTCGAATCCACCGGCTGCTCCTCGGGAGAAAGATGTGGCAATCTACTTCCGTAAAGATTTACAGCCTTGGAAACCCTATGGGGACAGTTCTACTCTGTCCTACAGGGTCGCTATGAATAGGATTGGACCCGACGGCAGTGGGTTTGGTTTGATAGAGATGGAAGATTGCCAGCACATGAGCTACTTCCCTTGCCTTCGGCCATCACGGCAGGAGCCTGCTTGTCCGTCAATACCCGTCAATGCTGTGCTTCAGGCAGCTACTACCAGTGGATCAGAAGTGGCACAGGCCATGAAAACATTTACCTTCTCTGACCAGAAAGGAATATTTAATGGGAAAACTAACACCTAGAATTTCTCATTCTCCTTCCATTCTTCTCATGAAGTTGTGTTACGTAGGAACCCTTTAGGGGTTAATGAAGCACACGTTACTGAACTGCCTATGTTATTCTAATTAGCTGCTGCTGCTTAGGCTGATAGCCGTCGCAGGGAAAGCACATGGAAGATGTGAGCTTCCAGGAGAAGCTTTTGGTAGCCCAAATAAATTGCATGTCTCTACAGGCTCAAACATAGCAACGATGGTAGGGATGGTGCAGGATCGGGCAGCGTTTTGTTCTGTTGTACATAGGGTCACTGAATCGAACCGACTCAATGGCACCTAGCAACGGTTAATTCTTTACTATCACTGTAGGGAATGGATTATTCACCAAATAGTAATTTTCATTGTGGGCTCTGCTGAATCTTCAGTACAAATTGCTGAAATCAGTTTTGCTTTACATTGTGATAAATGTGTGGAGGGAAAAAAAAAAAAACTTTGGAAGTATAAGATTCTGCAGATTGTTATTATCTATTGCTTTGTAACCCCAAAACTTAGTGGTTTAAACAGCAAACATTTATCTCAGTTTCCATGGATCATGAATCAGGGAGGAGGTTACAGAGGTGTGGTTCTGGCTCAGGATCTCTCATGAAGTTACAGTCAAGATGGCGGCTCGGGCTGCAGCCATCTGGAAGATCTATTTCTGAAATGGCTCACTCATATGACTTTTGACTGAAATGGCCTCAGTTCCTCATTGGCTGTTGGCCAAGAGGCCCCACTTCCTTGTTATGTGGGCCTCTCCATAGGGCTGCCTGAATGTCTTCACAACAGGGCAGCTGGCTTCCCAGGAGCGAGTGATCCCAGAGGGAAAGCAAGAAGGCCCAATGCCATTTTATGACTTAGAAATTATATGCTGTCACTGCTGCCACATTCTGTTAGAAGTAAGAGTCACTAAGTACAGCCCGTAGTCAAGAGGAGGTGAATTTAGGCTCCACCATTTGAGGGAAGGTGTAGTTTAAAAGCGCCACAGTTATTGACTGTCTTATCCCTATGTTGACACCCGATCTCCAGACATCTGCACTTCTGTGGCGAAAAAGTCTATCAGACTGGCTTCTGTGCTTCCCGTGGCTATCAGTTATTCCTTGTCCTTGGTTCAGTACCAGATACATGTATGATTCCTTGTGTCCTCAGGAGGCAACCAGATGCCAAAACCTGGAAGTGGCTCTGGCATCCAAGTTTCCCATTGAAAAATCTACCAGGAATAGTGTTACTGGGAATTTAGGGTTCACAAATGATCATAAATCCCAGCCACCATGCTGTTTTCCTAAACTCGGAAACCACGAGAGACCAAGAGCACACAAGACTATTCCAGGAAACAAAAAACTTATTTGGTGCAAGGATTGGGAATGCCCTGGGTAAGTTTATCATTTACCTGTTGTATAACAAACCACCCCGAAACTAAGTGGCTCATTATTTGCTCTAGTGGTGCAATTTGGGCAGGGCTGGGCGGGCACAGTCCATCTCCACTGTGGTACGGTTGGTGTTACCCATGTGGCTACATCCAGCTGAGAGCTCTACTGGACTCAGATGCTGCCTGTCTTCCCTTACATGGCTGACACTGCAGCTGGAATGCTGGACATTTCTTTCTCAACATGGTCTCTCTAGCAGGGGATAGCTAGACCGCTTCATGAGGTGGCTCAGGGCTCTGAGAGAGCAGAAGCTGCCAGGTCTTTGTGACCTAGGCCTGGAACTGACACAGCATTACTTTTGTCATATTCTGTTGGTCAGAGCAAGTAACGTGGTTAGCACAGATTGAAGAGGAGAGGAAATAACTGCCCTTAATAGAAGGTGCAACAACAAAGTGATGACCACCTTTATCCACCAGAGTAAGGAAAAACAAGCCCAACTGTACTGACAGAATGTCTAGCAAAGACTTCCTAAATAAATTCATTTAGATATCTGGAGGATTTGGGTGTCAGAAAAGAGAAGTTCCTATTTGGCACCCACTCCAAGCTAAAGATGTCTGTAAGAATCTGGTTATTTGCTTCTCTCTGTCTCTCCTTGCTCTCTTGCCACTCACCTTGTCTCCCAACATGCCAACCCATAACTGGTCGTCTGAGTTTTTGCTTGGGGTGCTTCTCCTGCCTAAGTATTCTCCCTTCTCTTGACTGTGTATCTGCTGAAGTTCATATGCACATCTTTTGAAACAATGCTTGATCAAGAAATGAAAAAGTGAATTGATCACGTAGAATTTTACCGTAATGACTGTAAAGAGCCATTGGCCTCCAGAAGTTTATCCTTAATCAATCCCATTCAGTTTCCTTTGGCGACTGTTTCAGACTTTTCCCACTCTTTCTGCCAAATGTCAGTTGAGTGGATAATGTTATGTGCTGTGGAAAGAGCACAGACTCAGACCTGAGAACAGATCCTAGCTCTGGAACTCGTAAGCACTATGGTTTGCGGCCAAGACATTTAACTGCTGCAAGCCTCAGTTTCTTCCTCTGCTAAATGGGGGACAATAACGAAAAAAACCCATTGTCAAGTCAATTCTGACTCGTGGCGACCCTATGGACAGAGTAGAACTAACTGCCCCATAGGATTTCCAAGGCTGTAATCTTTGCAGAAGCAGACTGCCACATCTTTCTCCTGCGGAGCAGCTGGTGGGTTCCAACTGCTGACCTTCGGTTCGCAGCTGAGCGCTTAACCACTGTGGCACCAAGACTTCTTAAATGGGAGACAACAGTACCTACTTCATAAGAATTGTTGTAAAGATTCAATGAGAAAGTTTGTGTAAATTAGTGTAGAGGAAAAGTGATCAATAGAAGTTGCCTAAGATGACGGGAGGACTACAGTGCATTAAACAAGAGGGTGAATCAAAGTTTGTGTGTCAGGTTCCAGGCTAGTGGCAAAAAGGGAAGAAAAAACAACAAACATTACCTCCATCTTTACTGAAGGTAACAATGTGGTAACCTGGCTTTCATTATTTGATTTTAACATTGTCTAGTAACCTTTCTCAAATCAGTTAATAAAAGCACGTTTCCATTCATAACCTTTCTGTTTACAAAGCCCTAACTCTGAGCTGGCAAGGATGGTTACTTTTACAGCTGTAACTTTTGATAACACCACTACATCACAGAATAAAGCAACAATATCATTTGACTCACAGCCCAGTGCCCTCAAACAGATCTACTTTTCCTTTCCGAGACTTTTCCATAGGATGCCTTATTTTTAGATGAATACACTAAACATTATCCCCTGCCACATAGGAGCTGGAGTTATTTTTGGTTTAGAGGAGACGAAACAAGTTCAGAAATGCCAGAAGCCCTACAGCCAATAGGGGATGGAGCCAGGGAAGGAATTTAACCTTCATAATTTAGGGCTTATCCCACCAAGCTGTTCATTAGCACCTGGGTAATGGATAGGTAAACAGTAATCTCTAAAGAGGGGAATGAAATAGGAATGATGGAACAAATTCCTAAATGGAGCCTGATATCCAGCCATTCATTCCTCTGCCTTTGCTGTGACTTTGGACATTTGTCCTGTCCCCTTCCCTCCTTTCCCTGTCTAGCCCTTAACCACCCACTTCCCTGCCCACTTCTTCTCTTTTCCAGGGCAATCTTAATACTGTTCACTTTGCTGCTCAAGGCCTGGGTCGCACTGTCTCATTTTAAATCTTTTTCACGTCGTGGTATTGTTTATTCGACGAATATTTGGTGAGCACCGACCACATGCCAAACACTGTGCCTGGGCACAATGCAGAGCAAACATCAACCACGAGTGGCACAAGTCACGTTTACCCGTTTTTGCCTCTCCCAGGAATCTTAGTGTCTGAGTAAACGCCACAATACCCTCTCGTTTAGCACACGTTTGAAACTCACCACCTAACGCTGCAGCCCTGAGCCGCCCAGAGCTCCCGTGCCGTGGCCGGGACCCACGGAGGTGAACCCCGCTCGACACTTCAAAGGCGGGAGCAAAGGTCAGAAATGTTACCTCCGTGCTGCTCCCCAGAACCCACTTCCGCCCACCCAGTACAAAAGTCGAGACCTATCTGTAGGTGAAGGCGCGTCAGAATTCGAGGAAGTTGTCCTACGTCTGCTTTCTTCCCAACCAGACCCTTCATGTTTGTTCTTCTCAGAGGCCGGGATTTTTAAAAAACACCGCAGGCAGGAAAAAAAAAAAAAAAAAAAAAAAGCGGTTGTTATGACAACCAAACGGGGCTAGGAAAGTCAGCCAATGAGCGTGCGCAAGTGCCTCCGGCTCAGCCAATGACAAGGACGCGCCGTGCGTAAGGCCGCCCAATGGCGCGCGGGCAGTGCTGCGTTTGAATCGCGGAGCTGGCGACGTCGGGGAAGGAGCCTCGGTCCTGCTGCAGGAGAGCGGCCCTAACGGCGCCCCGAAGCTTGTGTCCCTCTAGCCCGCGGCCCCTCCGCACCCGGGCTGTCGCTCTCGCCTTCCCGGTCCCTGATGGCGCTGCTCCGATGCCCGACGGTGAGTGGGCCCGGCGGTCCTCGCACGGGCCGGGGCCTCTGCCCGCCGCTCCTCCAGCTCCCCTGGCTTCCCTCCTGCTGCCCAGCCTCGCCCACACCGCGCCGCCTTTCCCTGCCTCGGGGTTCCCACCTCGGTCCGTTTCGGATCCACCTCCCCGCCCCGGCCCTCCCTGCCCGAGGGTGGCGAGGTGGAGGCAGGCGCGTGGGGGCGGCTGCCAGGCCAGCGAGGCCCAGGCCGCACGCAGCGAGCGGTCCCAGATGCTCTTTGTTGGTGGAGCGGACGCAAATGCAAAGCTGGGGTTTCCTTCCCTTTGCCCAGCGCTCTGCCAGCTTAGGGCGCTGTTGTGGGCGCGGGGAGGAGAAGGACTGGAGGAAATCCATAGACAGTAAAGGTTCTGAGTGTTTGGTTAATCAACAACCATGGCATGTTTTCTTCACATTTTGCTCTGTTTGCATTTCCCCTTTATTCTGCACACCGAGTCTTCCTAGCCAAGGGCACTAATGTCAGGGTTTGTCCTTTTAAGAAAATTAATTCTTTCACTCAAGTGTAATAGAGATTTTGCATATAATTTGGACCAGTGTGGCAGCCTGAGAGAAAATGGTTCAAATTAATTTATTTCATCTTTGCAAAAATCAAAATGTTATGATGTTTTGGGTATATTTCCTGTGGGCTTGAATGGTACGGGAACCTACTTATTCTCTGCTGAAAACCAGAGGGCCCTGACACACCTGAGTTCCATCGTTCTGGCTAAAAAGGCTGGTTAGAAGCTGCCAGGTTTTCCTTCCAGATGAATTTAAACTTAGTCACAGGCTTTAATCCATAAACATTAAACTTTCAAACATTTTTTTTTTTTAAATTGGCAATTGCTGCTGGAAATATTGTACACAGTGTGACTTTTAATAGCTTGAACACATTCAGTATTCATGTCCCTTTGTGACTCTAAGTCAAACTGAAGAGTAGTTTTTTTCTGATCATATAAAGTTCTTTAATAGTCAACTTATTTCTGTTCAAGAGAGTTTTCCCCTGCCCCTCTGTCTGTCCTGGTAGATCCACTCAAACCCCCTATTGATGCTGATAGATTTTTTTTAGGATTAAAAAAAAAAAAAACAACCATTGCCATCGAGGTGATTCCAACTCATAGCACCCTATAGGACAGAGTAGAACTGCTCCCTACGGTTTCCAAGGAAACTGCTGACTTTGGTTAGCAGAGGAGCTGTTAACCATTAGGACCCCCCAGCTGTTAGGGATAGAATATGCTGTTCTTTCTCACGTAATGTTCATCAGTTCTGTAATGTAAACCTTTTTGAATGAATTACTTTTCCTAGGAACTTTTGTTGCTAAGCATATTCTGTCTGAAGCAAGGTAACATCAACTGATGATTTTTCTTTCCTGCAATTCCAACCTTCCCTAAATTTGAGAACTAAAACTGCTTTACCCTAGAAAATTATTTCCTTTCTGGGTTTCCTTAATATAAGAGAGTCTGTTCCACGGCAAGTCCATGTAAGAAGACTGCCACATCTGAGGGAGCACGTCTTGTTTCGAGAATGAAAGCTAGTTTAGGCTGTAGATATCTCGATTTTCAACAGCCAGGCCTGTCATAGCTTTTTAATATTGTGTCCTAACTGCACTTGTTATCCATTGCTGTAAAGGAAATCTTTAAAATAGATGGTAAATTTACAGGGCTCTCTACCAAGTGACGTGGTGCTATGTGAAAAATAGTCGTGTATCTGTGACGTTTTAAAGTTTCTTGCGGGGGCCGTGTGAATACTCAAATACCTCTGCAAGGTGAAGCGGAGGGTCTTTATTACAGGTAAAGTAGACGAGTGATTTGCCTAAGTTAGAGTGGTGTTATCCATCACAAATAGCATTTTTAGGCCTAAAACCTATCTTTCTCTCTTTCAAATAGATCTATGCATATTCACCTTTGCCAAAACAATCCTGAATTTGGCTATCTGACATTAGCGAAGTATTTTAACTTGCCTAAACTCTTCGTTAATTTTTCTTTTTTTAGGTGCCCAGTGATTTGGAAAATATTGACAGAGGAATTAATTCCAAACCGAAGAGTCATGTGACTATCAGACGGGCAGTTTTAGAAGAAATTGGAAATAGAGTTACAACCAGAGCAGCGCA